AAAGTTTGTGCCTGCATAGTCCTTAAATACTAGTCTTTTTTCATACTCCATATACTTTAAGTATAATGAAGGAGCCATCTTCTTTGCCTATTTTGCCTTTCATGCAACACTGAAATTCCATACACATTCCTACTGATCCCAATTAGAATCTTAATCTAGAAATTAGTCATTTGCGTATTTTGGAAAAGTCTCACTACTTATCACTTCCTCCTTGCTTATACTATCTTCCTTCCCAAATATTGTTGTCAAATGTTTCTTCCTACACAGAATTGATTAAATTATACCCTTCAAAAACTTTAATAAATATCTTACTACTAGATTATGTACATATATGTTATATGTAAATATATATAAATTTATAAATTAGGGTATATATGGATGTGTTTGTTCATGTGGACATATAGATTGCATGACATGCATACATTTTCAACTTATATTTGCTCATCCTAATTATCTTAGGTGTTGCGTTTTTTTCTGTTTATTTTTTTGAATGCTTCTGAGACTTGAACCTAGAGCTTTTGTGCCCAATCATTTTTAAAAATTTGAGACAGGGTTTCTCTAAGTCACTACATTTCCCTGCTGGGCTTGAATTTGCAATCCTTCTGTCTCAGTCTCCTTGAGTGTTGAGGTTGCATTGAGGACTTTTCTAAACACCCTAGCTTAACTCTAGAATCATTTTTTTTCTACAATTCCAGTGGAATCTATGTCATAGCCAAAATGTGTTACTGAAAGCCTTGTGGATGCACCTTATTCCCTCTAGCACATATTTTTGCTCATACAGCTCTCTCCACAAAATCCCCTGCAAGGTAACACACTGTTTTTTGTTGTTGTTTTGTTTTGTTTTGTTTTGGTGGCAGGGATTGAACTCTGGAACTTGTGCTTGTGAGGCAGGCAGCAGCACCACTGAGCTAAATCCCCAGCCCTAACACACTTTTAATTTACAATTGAAATGAGATTCTGTCTCAAGGCCTACTTCAAATGTTAGCCTCTCCAAGAAAATAATGTGGTTCTTCTCAAATATCTGTGAGAGATATATAATAAAGCTGACAATGTTGTCTGTGAATATTTTCTAGATTACCTGAAGGAAGAGTAGTTTCTATTTCTGGGCAATAGGCCAATCAAAATACATGCATTGAAGTCGTTCTGCAGTATGCTATCATGTGGAAAGAAAAGTTGATGAAGGTCCCAGATGTTTGTAAATTGTGTATCTGAATATATACATATATATATATATATATATACACATACATATATATATATATATGTCAAGATATATATATTATGGCAAGCTTTCAAATTATATTAAAACATTAACCTAGTTAAAATGGACAAAGATGTAAGTGACAACTCATTTCACAAATAAGCAAAAACACGCTGGACATCATTAATTATCAGATAAATGCAAATAAAATTTCATTGAGAAGTGATGATTTATTAAAATGAATACCTTTGAAAAGATTAACCAGATTAGAAGCAGTGATGTAAGACATTTAAAAATAGGCCGCAGAGTGGATTAAAAGGTAACCACACAAATATAAGGAAGCAGTCAATTTGTTTCAAGTTTTGACTAGGTTTTGATAGGGGATATCATATTGTTTTATCCACTTCTCTGCAGAGTATTTATGTGAATCTATTTTTATATATACTATATTGTCTATTCATTTCTTTGTTATTAGAAAAGGACAAAGAGCCAGATAATGAATTAAGATGTTCTTTGCTTTCCCATTGTCTTGCCAGTGAAAGTTAACAAACACTTTTACTGGGTAGGTAGCTATATATATCATGCTTCAGATATCATCTAAATACTTTCCACTTCTCTGCAGAGTATTTATGTGAATCTATTTTTATATATACTATATTGTCTATTCATTTCTTTGTTATTAGAAAAGGACAAAGAGCCAGATAATGAATTAAGATGTTCTTTGCTTTCCCATTGTCTTGCCAGTGAAAGTTAACAAACACTTTTACTGGGTAGGTAGCTATATATCATGCTTCAGATATCAGATCTAAATACTACAACAAATAAAGGTTTTTTTCATATGTTTTTGACCAGCTCTACCGTTAATACTAAAAAAGAACACGTGCACATGCTATTATTATGTTCAAAATTCTCAAAAGCAGTATGTTAGGTTAAGCAACAAAAAGTCCTGACCTAACCTCTGAGCCCTGTGTAGTGTTATCTGTGCTGTCTCCTTGGCCACAGCTGGATCTTCCCTGCCTCTCCCTTTGAAAGAAAATCACACTTAACTTTTGATTTAGCTAATGATCAAGACTCTCTAGTAAAGCTCTTGCACATAGCTAATGTCTATAAGAATCACTGTGTTAGAAATATAGACTCCTAAGATCCCACTGGTAACTACTGAAAGTGAATCCACATTTTTATAAGATCTCCATGAAATTTATATACACTGAGGTTTGGGAAGCAGAATTTTGTGCATCCTCTCTTAGAAATCCTTTGTCCTGTTCTTCCTTTGCCTCTTCTTTGGACATTTCCCAGTAAAGTTTATTAGATTTCAGTTTAAACTGGCATAGCTAGAGATATGATTGAAATCTCAACTTCAATTTTCACTGTGGCAACTTTACTTGTGGTCAGCACCTGAAGGAAATTTAGAACTTTGGCCCTATTAAACTTGTATTTTGATTAGCTTGGACAAAACTATACAAATTAGAACTCCCCGAAGAGTACATTTTATATATAAAGCTTTCTTAAATTGGTCAGAAATGTCACATGGGTTATAAAATAGTGAATACAATATAATAGCAATTGCTTAAACTAGCACTGCATACAGTGACTTGATGTTTATGATTCTGAGATCTGTAATACCCTGAGGAACAAACTGAGGTTCTCTGTAGATTGTCCAAATCTACAATGCCCAGTAGAACAGTTGAGCTTTGTCCTGAAGGGAATCTTTGGGCTCTCCTGGGGAATTTAGTTTTCCACTCCTTCCTCTTTTGGCAAGGATATGCAGTTGAAAAATTGGTTGAGTTATTTTTTGGTAGGAAAATTTATAAACACAACATTTTCTCAGCTTGGGAAGTAAAGTCTCTAAGCTGAATCAGTGTGCCAAGAATTTCTACCTATATTTTTATCACTCCTCTGCTATAATTGTATTTTTTCTACTTTATAAATCTTAACACTTTTAAAGGATCACCATACTTTCTCTCAAGGTATGGGTAAAACATAAATGATTCTACAATATAAATGGTTCTTTATGCAGTAAACTAAAGTTTCTGTTCATTTTGTAATAAGTTTGTGGTACAAAATGTCAAAATAGATAAGTGAAAATGGAAAACTATTAATGGATTATGTGATTAAAGGCTGGATAAACAAAGTCATTCCCCATAAGATTGATTTGTGCCCTCTGATAATGTTTTCTTAACTTGCTAACTTAATTATAATGAATTTATGGATGAATTTTGGTGAACCAGCATATTAATTTAAGACTGAGTTGAAAGATTAAATAGTAATGTTTCTTATATGACATCTTTCTTGAATCTATTAAAAAGATTTACTGTAATTAAATACATATCTGGATTATACCTTAAAGTGTTAGTTCTAGTTTTTAACCCAGTTCTGATATCAATTGTCAAATTAAGAGTACACACACATGTATATATCAGGAATATATATTCAGAGAAAATTCAGGAAATGTCCTTGCACTTTTCTCCCCAGAACTTACAACCTAAATATATTCACATGGGAAACAGAGTTTGAGAATTTTCAAGTATTTTGTGATTTAAGCTTGCATGGAATGATGATGATCCCAAATTAAAATACATTTAACTGCTGGAATTATGGAAAATTATCTGTTTTGATTCATGCCTTCACTCAACATTATTCTGCTAAAAGAAAACTTTTGGAGATAAGAATACTCTCAATTAAAGCTGTAAATACAGAAATTACAACCAATAGTGTAGATAGCTTCATTGAGAAAATTTTTTCATTTGGGTATAGGAATAAGTCCAGAGAATAATGAGAAGCGATAAGAAAATTCATGTCATAAGTTTCCTTTGGTCCTTCTTCCTTTGTTTCCTACTCACCAAATTCCAAGTCTATGTCAGATTGATTAAATTTTACAAGCCTAGATTAAGTTACCTCATTCTTGATGCAATCAGGTTGGAAACTTCAGTTTCTAGTTTTAAAGAAGGGAATAGTCTCCATTCATTTTCAGTATTTATGTGGAAAGAAAGGGTATAAACCAAAAACGGCATGCACAAACTTTATAACCTGTTTAATAGAACTTTTAAATTTCTTCCCTATCTATTCTTATTTTAGTTTTGGCATACTTGTCTAACTATAGGCTTTCCTTAACTATGCTTTTAAGTATCTAAATGCCTCCCATACTATTATATTCATAAACAGTAGGTTTGTACTAATTGTATTTCATTTGGATTTTCAGTGGATGTTTATTTCACATATCTGCAAAAAAAAATTTTGAGGTCTCAATCTCATTTTAAGTCACTGTGTGACTCCACTTTCTTTTACTGACCACTCTCTTCACATCTAACATTTCATGGAATCCTACTGCCTCTATATTCTGAATTATTTTGAGTCAATTTCTTTGTTCCACTTATCAATCTTAATGTCTTATAACTCACAACTAGCCACTTTACATGCAAATGAATCATGTTCATAGTATTCTACAAATATGTATTTCAAGACCTCATTCTTAAACTGCTGAATCTGTTTCTATAGTAATCTCTCATACTCTGCATTGGTAATAAAGTTCTCCAGACAATCTGATATGTAATCTGGTTTAGGATCCCTCAACAGTGGAATCAATTTCCTAATAATTATTTCCAAATTATGTTTCCCCTTATTGACTTCTCACTGTATTTTCAATATGGAAAACTATTTAGTAGATCTCTCACCTGCCATTATATCCATTATATCTTTTAGAAGTGTATGGTTTTATTTGAAGTCTCCAAAATGTTTCACTTTGTAAATTCTTCAACAATATTTTTTTTTCATTTTATGTCAAGGGACATCCATTGAGGATATGGAAAATAATACTACAACATTGATAAGAGAGTTTGTTCTCACAGGACTCCCACATCAACTAGAGTGGCAGGTCCCCCTGTTCCTGGTGCTCTTGGTGATTTACCTCATCACCGTTGTGGGAAACCTTGGTCTTGTTGTTCTTATTTGGAATGACCCTCACCTTCACATCCCCATGTATTTGTTTCTTGGGAGTTTAGCCTTTGTGGATACATGGTTATCATCCACTGTGACACCAAAGATGCTGGTCAATCTGTTACTCAAGAGCAAGTCGATATCTCTCTCTGAATGCATGATACAATTTTTCTCCTTTGCAGTCAGTGCCACAACAGAATGTTTTCTCTTGGCAGCAATGGCTTATGATCGCTATGTTGCCATATGCAAACCTTTGCTTTATCCAGTGATTATGACCAACAGACTCTGCAGTCACCTATTAGTGTGCTCATTTGTTGGTAGCTTTCTTCATGCCTTAATACATGAAATTACTTTATTGAGACTAACCTTCTGCAATTCCAATATAATACATCATTTTTATTGTGATATTATACCATTGTTAAAGATTTCCTGTACTGATCCTTCCATTAATTATCTAATGCTTTTTATTTTATCTGGTTCGATTCAATTATTCACAAGTGTGACTGTCATTGTCTCCTATACACTTGTTCTCTTTACAATTTTAAAGAAGAAGTCTGCTAAAGGCACAAGGAAAGCCTTCTCCACCTGTGGAGCTCATCTTTTATCTGTGTCTTTATACTATGGTAGTCTTGTCTTCATGTATATGCACCCTGCATCTCCACAAGCAGATGATCAAGATATGATGGACTCTTTATTTTACACAGTCATAATTCCTGTGTTAAATCCAATTATCTACAGCCTCAGAAATAAGAAAGTAATAGATTCACTAACAAAAACATTAAAGGGAAATATTTAGATCTTATAATACAATATGTTTTCCTTAAAATAGTTACAAAATTATGCAAGTTAGGTTTGGTTATTTTTCAGTACATGTTAACAAATTTTGCAATTACAATAGTCATAGCTTAACTTGTGACCAGCTGATGAACTTCATTAAAGGCTATATGTCATTCAGAACCATGTAAGGAAATTTAGTTAGGTATTTAAACTATGATAAATGAGGAAAGCAAAAACATTTTGCAGACTTCTGTGATCTTCCATATGGTTTTACAGATGAGCTTAGTGCTAAAATTGATCAGGTCCCATGATCATGACTTGAGTATGATGTCTGTGACACTAATAAGGAATATAGCATGGAGACTTATATTGCATTTACTTCATAGTGGTAGCAAGTTTGTGTTTGAACATAAGCTAATCTCATTAATTCAACTGTCCCCTGAAAGTCCTTTTATTCCACTTGGTTGAGAAATGGTAAGTTGCACTTTTTGTAGGAATTATATTTGTACATCACACAGAGAAATAGAAATGGGAAAGAGGAATAAATAAGGAAGAACTTACAAAACTAGCGGCAGGAACAGATGAACAGAAGATGCTGTTAGTTCCATGTGTTCCTATGAGTAAGAAGAGGAAAGTTGTTTTTCCCTGACTGTAATGCCTTGTAAGCATCTTTTGTGTCTAAGGATAAGTTTCTGTGTTGTTGGTCAATCTTAAAAGCTTCACTAGTTCATAAAGCTAAAAGATTAGAGTGAAGATTAAATTTTCTGGGTTTAGACAAGCAAAGTGACAGATTAAGAAAGAAATTGTCTCAATCTGCCATGAATAAAAAGACTAGTAAAATATAGAAATTCATTATATTTATGCATTATGGAATATGTCTTTTATAGTGAGGAACTTTAAATTTGTATTTCAAAAATTAAAATAATGCTGATATGGTATGATATCAAACTGTGTAGTGGGGCAGTTGGAGAAGGCATGAATGAAAAAGAATTTGAATTGTTTGTCCCCTAAAAACTGGAACAAACTAATTCTATATTAAGTTTAATAAATTATTCATTTTAAGATCATCCCTGTTCTTCCTCACTCAATACTGAAATAATCTCTAAATATATTGCCTTTAAGGTCAACCACATTCTTTTCTTCCAAATTTTATTTCAAATAGTCATTCAATCATATTTATTCTGAATTACTGAAATAGAGCCAAAATATTGGTCAAAGCTTATAAATTAATATATAATAAAATATTTGATCTAAGTGAAGTCAGCAACCACATGCTTGAACTTCTGTATGATGATAATAGTTTTATCATTAATATACTGCGGAGATATATCAGAAGTAGCTCATGGTGATATGGCTGTCTAGTTCTGGATGGGTCCTCCATATCTTACAGAACAACTGCTAAAAAGGCACAAGCTTTTTTTCTTCTGTTAACTGATCTTATGAAGTACATATGAGACCATTAATGGAGGTTGGAGAGAAGAGTAGACAGCGAGATTGGAGATCATGGAAATTTGGGCCACTCATTCATGCAACTTTACTTTTGCCACAGAATCTGTCCAGGCATAATCTTTTATATACTTTTTTTTATAATAGTGTGCTGCTATACATGTTTATCTTTATGTTTTGGTGTGTTTGATAATACACAGTTCACAAGGAGTGGCTCAAATTGCATGATGACATGGTTGCCTAAAGATAAATACTTGGCCTCTGAAAAGACACCATAGTAGGCTAAGAACTGCTTCTCAAAAGGACATTTCTTACCTGCAGAAGGTAGAAAGAGTTTGCTTCAAATTCTAAGGATTTAGGCTGCAATTCACTTGTAGAGGACATCCAAAGGCTTCAAGCAGAACCCCTAAGCAAAGAGACACAGCAGCTAGACCCAACACAAGTCTCACTTCTGGGCTGAGCTCCACTCTAAGATATCATGTTTTGGGTCACTGGGTCAATGGATCAAAGAACACACACATGAGATTATGTGGCTTCTATAATCTAAAAAGGCCCACAGGTATATGCCTTGTTTTGACTTGAAGGAAGAATCTTATGCAAAAATTTATCCATAACCTTAGAAGAAATATAACAACATACCCCACATCACTGGATCTTAGAAATTTCACTGAGGTAGAACTCTCTTGTAAGTTACTGGATATTTTTTAACTTCTCTGGCATATAAATATCTTACATTATTTCTTTTTTCCCCCTTATTTCATAAAGTATTTGTAATTAGGGAAGGGAGGAGGGGGTGAAGGGAGGGCAGGGGTAAGGAGAAAAAATGAGAACCAAGACCTGTCATGTAAAGGTACAAGATCCCAATGATGAATGTAACTGTACTGTACACCTAAAATGTACCAACAAACTCAATGAGAAAAAAAAATCTTACAAATAAATGTAGAATGGATGCTTTTATCAGTTCATTAGTTTCAGTAAAAAAAAAAAATCAAGTGTAGTGGACCAATATGATCTTGTGGAAAATAAAGGTGGTCATGATCCTTGAAAATATTTGTAAATCATATATTTGATAAAATACTTATGTCCAGAATACAAAGAAATCTAATTAAAATCAATAATAAGGCTAATAACTAAATTTAAAAAGTGACAAAAGATTTGAACAGAGCCTTCATAAAAAAAAAATACAGATATTGCCGGGGATTTTAGCTCAGCGGTTCGGTGGTCTGCCTTGCAAGAGCAAGGACCTGAGTTCAATCCCTGGTACAAAAAAAAAAAAAAAATGTGTTTTCATTCTTTGGGGCAGGGGATTTAGCTCAGCGGTTTGGTGGCCCGCCTTGCAAGTGCAAAGGCCCGAGTTCAATTCCCGGTACCAAAACAAAAACAAAAACAAAAAAAACATGTCAAATAAGGACACTTAAAAGAGATTGGAGGATTAGAAGAAGGTTAAATGAGATGGCAGAATGGGATTCTTAATGGTCATCCCTCTGCAGAAACATCAATTTGAACAGCACCCACACATGAAGATACCTTCATAAGAGGTAAAGAAAACATGTAAGAGATCACAAAACCTGATTATACCATAAGAATAAGAAAGGACTCATTGAAGAGGGTAAGATGAGCTTTACATTATCAATGTGGCCTCACCTCCAAACCCAGGCAGCTCACATGAAGACAGATAATGTCTGCCTTGGAGAAAATGAAGGAAGTAAGCATAATACTTTGCATTGGACCCCAATGCTAGGCCAACTATGGTAAAACTCTATCCTGGGCAAATACAGTCTCTGAATACAAGCCAAGACTTGTGAACTGAGGTTCTGGATCCACCTTGGTACCAGACGGGACCCAAAGTCCCTGTGAGATGGATTTGACTTCACACCTGCCTCATTGAAGACTGACTGCAGTGGCCTTGGGTTCTGGAAAACTTCAGTGTCAGTCAGGCCTCAGTGATCATGGGCTTGAGTACACCTAGGCCTATGCCGGCCTTAGCAGTCACATGATTCTAGCTTGATGCTTCAGAGGCCATGGGATTCCAACTGGCCTTTGCTATCTGGAAATCAAAATGCAATATTGCTGACAAAGTTTATTCACATAGAACTCCATATCAACAAGAGTGGCAAATTCCCATGACCTTGTTCTTCTTGATGATGTACCTTAACACCATCTTGGAGAATTTTGGTCTTATGGCTTTTATCTAGAATAAATGTCTAATGATTAATTTGAAAAAACATGAAAGTGAACAAACATTTTAATGTGTCGTGATTCAAAATTCTTTGAGTACTGGCTTTCATCATTCTTTGAGTCTATAAATGTACAGAAAGACTCATTTTTATATCAATTTTTTCCATTCATTTCTCAACACTGAAATTCTATATACATTCCTACTGATACCGCTGAGTTCCTTAGTCTAAAGCATAGCAGTATGTGTGTTTCATAATCACTAGTAATTTATCTACCTCATCCTGATGGTACTTTGCTACTTACCAAGCATTATTGTCAGATAATTCTTACCTTATAGAATTCTGTTTATTTTATTTTATTTTTTTCTCATTGAGTTTATTGGTACTTTTTAAGTATACAGTATAGTTACATTCATCACTGGGATCTTGTACCTTTCCATGACAGGTCTTGGTTCTCATTTTTTCCCCATATCCCTGCCCTCCCTTCACCCCCTCTTCCCTTCCCTATTTAGAAAAACTTTTTTTCCCATTTTTTCATTTTCTCATATTTTTTCTTTTCCCTTATTTCCTTTTCCCTGTCCTTCCCAATTTCCCTACACCTTTAGCGCCTTTTTCACATTGTCAGTTATACCATTAGGATCTTATATACAGTCATAGTTTTTCACACTAGAGAAACTATTCGGTATTTACACGTGACTTATTTATTTCACTTGAGTATATCCTCAATATGCATCCATTTAGAATTCTGTTTAAATCACTTGCCTCTTCAGTATTTTTCATGATTGCATTTACCACGAGATTATATGGAAATATTATGTATGCATATATTATCTATTGTCATTGTCATTTTTGTCATCATCATCATCATCATTTTCCTCACTCTATGTGGGTAACTTACAATGACTTTATTTGATGTTCCTTTTAAGAAACCTTTGCTTTGACTCTGGTGTTTTTCTCTGTCCAATTCTCCTAATGGCATCTATGATATAAATAAATGAATTACTGAAAGCCTTCTGAGTATACCTTATTCTTTTGAGTATATGCCATTGCCCATACTGATGTCTTTACAGAGAATCCCTTTGCTCTCCCACCAACTATTCATTTTTATTTATAATTGAAATGATATTCAAGATCTTTAAAATGTTTCAGTTTCCATGATGCCTCTCAAAATCTTCAATAAGAATAGAAGCTTCACTCATTTGAAGCAGCTTTTTTAATGCTCCTTTGGCCACACTTAGCCACACATAGATAGTACTTATTTTTGAACTGCAAGATCTTTAAATTACAAATCAATCCTACTGCTCTTTCACACTGCAAAGTATAGTGGCTTACAGGCATGAAGCCCTAAATAATTTTTTCCAAAATATTTGTAAAATTTAAATGAATATGGTAGCAT